TCGTTTTCTCGCACATGTATCATTTGTGAGTATCCTTTCCTAACTAGAAGTACTTAGGATCCTATGTTGTCTTTTACGAACAGCCTGCCCAGAGTTACCTGTTCCAACCAACGGCAACAGGGCAGGAGGTCATTTTCATGGAGATACAGTCACCTTTTCCTGTAACGAAGGCCACGAACTGATCGGTTCTGAGAACAGAAGATGCCAGACCAACCAGAGCTGGTCCGGCGTACAGCCCATTTGCTCCAGTAGGTGACATCTTTTTACATTATTGTATAATAAAAAATTGTAATTGTGTATTGGAAGTGATCATCAGTTTACAATATACTGTATAATACGTTTAACTATGTCCTGCTTTTGCTTTACAAATCGCAATGCTGGTGATAAAAATATGTATAAGTCTCTCGTCATGGAAATTAATTTACATGTTCTAGTAGGACTTGCTTTCACCATTGTCCAATATAAAATATTTTTATTGCCCTGACATAATTTTATCTGTGTTACAGGAAAACTCTGCCAAATACTGATGGCACCTTCTAATGGCAACTTCAGCGGCGGTAGTCTTATGGGGACGTCGTTACGTATTACTGTGACGCTGGATACGAGATCAGCGGCGATGAAGAACGAACTTGCCAGTCGGACCAGACCTGGAGCGGCACTCGGCCTACATGCGCCCGTGGGTGGTTTCTTTTGTTTCCCAAGATTATGTTTCGTTATAATTAAGTTTTCATATTTTCCCAATTAAAGTAGTTCATTCGTTTCTTGACAGGCTGTTTGGTTTGGTGTGCTTGGTTAATGTCTTTGTGGCCTCTGCAGCATAGTGACTGCAAGTAGCCTTTTCTAACTAAAACTACCTAGCATCCTACGCCCTCTCTTAGGAAAACCCTGCCCAGAGCTACCGCATCCAACCAACGGTAACAGGACAGGAGGTCATCTTTACGGAGACATAGTCACATTTTCCTGTAACGAAGGCCACGAACTGATCGGTTCTGAAAACAGAACTTGCCAGACCAACCAGAACTGGTCCGGTGCACAGCCTATTTGCTCCAGTAGGTGGCAGCTTTTAACATTATGATTGTAATGTAATTGTGTATTTGAATTTATAATCAAAATGCAGTCACTCAAGCAAGTGGATATGATTTTGGAAACGTCGTTTTAACTGTGTTACAGGAAAACTCTGCCAACAACTGATGGCACCTTCTAACGGCAACATCAGCGGCGGTAGTTCTTATGGGGACGTCGTTACGTATCACTGTGACGCTGGATACGAGATCAGCGGCGATGAAGAACGAACTTGCCAGTCGGACCAGACCTGGAGCGGCACTCAGCCTACATGCGCCCGTGGGTGGTTTCTTTTGTTTCCCAAGATTATGTTTCGTTATAATTAAGTTTTCATATTTTCCCAATTAAAGTAGTTCATTCGTTTCTTGACAGGCTGTTTGGTTTGGTGTGCTTGGTTAATGTCTTTGTGGCCTCTGCAGCATAGTGACTGCAAGTAGCCTTTTCTAACTAAAACTACCTAGCATCCTACGCCCTCTCTTAGGAAAACCCTGCCCAGAGCTACCGCATCCAACCAACGGTAACAGGACAGAAGGTCATCTTTACGGAGACACAGTCACATTTTCCTGTAACGAAGGCCACGAACTGATCGGTTCTGAAAACAGAACTTGCCAGACCAACCAGAACTGGTCCGGTGCACAGCCTATTTGCTCCAGTAGGTGGCAGCTTTTAACATTATGATTGTAATTGTGTATTGGAATTGATCATCAAAATGCAGTCACTCAAGCAACTGGATGTGATTTTGGAAACGGTCAGACGTCCAGACAAGGATGATGTCTTGAAAAGGGAACAAAATGTTTCCTCTGGTCTCTTAGAGTCACTAAAGAAAGGTATACCTGAAACGTCTGACCGTTTCCAAAATCATATCCAGTTGCTTGAGTAACTGTTTTGGCGTATCTTATTACCTAGATGTCTAACCTTCACCGAAAAATTGATAATCAGTTTGCAATATACAGTACAATACCTTGTAACTATGTCCTGATCCTGATTTGTAATGATGCAATTATGGTGACAAAAATATCTGCAAGTACCCTGTCATGGAAATCAGTTTACACATTCTAGTAGCAATTTGTTGCTATCATCATTGTCCAATAAAATGTGTTCATTGCCCTGACGTCGTTTTAACTGTGTTACAGGAAAACTCTGCCAACAACTGATGGCACCTTCTAACGGCAATATCAGCGGCGGTAGTTCTTATGGGGACGTCGTTACGTATCACTGTGACGCTGGATACGAGATCAGCGGCGATGAAGAACGAACTTGCCAGTCGGACCAGACCTGGGGCGGCACTCGGCCTACATGCGCCCGTGGGTGGTTTCTTTTGTTTCCCAAGATTATGTTTCGTTATAATTAAGTAGTTCATTCGTTTCTTGACAGGCTGTTTGGTTTGGTGTGCTTGGTTGATGTCTTTGTGGCCTCTGCAGCATAGTGACTGCAAGTAGCCTTTTCTAACTAAAACTACGTAGCATCCTACGCCCTCTCTTAGGAAAACCCTGCCCAGAGCTACCGCATCCAACCAACGGCAACAGGACAGAAGGTCATCTTTACGGAGACACAGTCACCTTTTCCTGTAATGAAGCCTACGAACTGATCGGTTCTGAAAACAGAACTTGCCAGACCAACCAGAGCTGGTCCGGCGTGCAGCCCATTTGCTCCAGTAGGTGACAGCTTTTAATATTTTGATATTGTAATGAGATTGATAATTAGTTTGCAATATACAGTACGATACGTTTCAACTATGTCTTGCTCCTTCTTTAGATATCGCAGTGCTGGAGACAAACATATTTAAAATCTACTTGCTATCATCATTGTCCAATAAAAAAAGTTAATTGCCCTGACGCCGTTTTAACTGTGTTACAGGAAAACTCTGTCAGCCACTGATGGCACCTTCTAACGGCAACATCAGCGGCGGTAGTTCTTATGGGGACGTCGTTACGTATTACTGTGACGCTGGATACGAGATCAGCGGCGATGAAGAACGAACTTGCCAGTCGGACCAGACCTGGAGCGGCACTCAGCCAACATGCGCCCGTGGGTGGTTTCTTTCGTTTCCCATGATTATGTTTCGTTTAGTTTTCAGATTTTTCCAAAGTGAAGTATAGTTCTAATATTTTTGACAGACTGTTACAACGTATCTAAGTGGTGTCTCTGAGTTTCCCTAATCTAGAAATAATGCGTACCTTTTACTAATTACTACTACTTTCATGTAAAAGTCAAAACATATGATCCAACACAAAGAAATCCTCTCACCTAGAGCTTTTGACCCTTCACTCTAGTTTTCTTCAATAGACTAACCAAGTGAGACGTTGGCACGTGGCTTTTCTGAGGTGTGACTTGTTTATAGGATACCTTTGACCCAGTGTTGACGTCACACTTAAGAGAAGCCACATGGCAAATCTCACTGGGTCATTTTACTGAGGAAGACCTAAGTGACTCGTCTAAAGTTCTAGGTGAGGATATGTCTTTGCTTTGGATCAAAATGTTTTAACTTTAAACACATGAATATTCACTTCCATGTACAGTATTTCCAGTAGCTGATTCAGCTGAAACAGCGGGACTGTCCACCTTACATGTGGTGATGATTGCCGTGGTGCCATCTGTGGTACTACTTGTACTGGGAGTAGTAGCGGGAATTCTACTACTAGGATACCGGCGCGGCAGAAAGAGACAAAGCGACGACCTTGAATTAGAAGAGTTTGACTTTCATCCAGATATTCTAGGTATATGACATACTTGCAGTTTTGCCATTCTATTATTCGGTACCAATACTCAAAAAATTAATGAGTAAATAGTCATGTATGTATCAACCAATAAGAAGTTGCGTTGATAAAAGCTTCATTGACTTCACCTATTCTGCAAGTTTTCCATTAATGCAAATGCATATGTTAAAAGTTAAAACTTTTGATCCAACACAAAGAAATCTGTCACCGAGAGCTTCCGACCAGTCACTCCGGTCTTCCTCAGTTTGTGTTGTATCAAAAGTTTTAACTTTAAACATGTAACTACCAACACAGATGAACTTTCATGATAGTACAAATGCATATGTTTTGCATTTTCGATATACCCACTTTTCGAAAAGTGGGTATATCGATGATGAATACTGTTGTATTACACCGTGAGCCCTATTGAAGACACTCATAATGTTGTTTCACTGCTTTTGTTCCCAGATGTAAAATTAACAGATTTGGACAAACAACCACCCCCGCCTGTGACGGCTCGGCCACAGTTCCTGGAGTACGAGGTAAACCCGACTGATCTGCGACTGAATGAAGAGATCGGCAGAGGGGCTTTCGGTATCGTCTTCCTGGCGACTTTAAAGAGAGCTGTTGATGGTCTTCTCAAGGAACAAACAGTGGTGGCCAAAACTGTCCGTGGTGAGTCAACGTCAGCTGGTTATTACGATACTCTATCTTCACTAACGCCAGGAGCTTCATTGATTTATTTTGCCACACGTCTTCAAGTCAAGGCGCGAGGATGCTGCCGTCAAACTCTTCACACAGATGCTACGAGAAGATCATCCCCTATATGACCTTGTCTCTCTCTCCAGATCTACAGCTACCGGTCGTTCACTCAGGAACAAAAACACTATCTCTATCCCCCCGCGAGAACAAAAGACTACAGAACTCTTTCCTCCACCAGTCAATCAGACTCTATAACCAGACTGTACAGATAGAGTCTGGCACAAGATAATGGACCTTGTAAATATCTGGGTTGTACACCTACTGTACTGTTTTTTTAGTTCCTGTAAATATATAATTTTTGACATTTTATCTTGTAAATATTAACGCCATTCAGGTAACATTGAATGTCATGTTTGTTATGTTTGATATCTTAATAAAGAATTGAATTGACTAATGGCTGAAAGCATGGCACACAGCACTTGAGCAGAGGAAGTTAGCCTTCGGTATGATCCGGCCCAAATGCAAAACAAGCACTCTACCCCCTGAGCTATTGCACCGGTGAAGCTTCAGTAACTGTATCAACAATGAAAGGTTTTTGTTAAATTTGCAGAGAACGCGAGAGAAGAGGATATACAGAATTTTATACAAGAGGTCGACACCACCATCACCCTGAGGGGCCACATCAACCTGCTCGGTCTTGTGGGCTGTTGCACACTGTCCCACCCTCCCTACCTGGTGACGGAGTACATGCCGTATGGAGACCTTAAGAACTTCCTACTCAAGTGCAGGAAGGTAAATGTATATACCATCCGTTTATAGCTATGTAACTTTAATGTAGATATCTTTGAATTTGTTCTTATTCTGTCAGTAATGGTTAAACTATCAGAAAGCTGTTGTCTCTATTTTGTTTAATGAATAATCATAATGATGTGCAACTGAAGTTTAAAAAACTACTTGTAAAGTTATCTGCCGAATTTGTTGTTATCAGCCACATTTCAACTTGTGTGTATGGCTCAATAGATCTAGAAACTGTTGTCCCATTTTACTTAATGTATTTCATTGTTTTGCTTGCTATGCAGCCCTCAAGCAATTATTTGCGATTTCGCAGTTACCAAAAGTTAGTGTCTGAAAATGAAATGTCCCTTTGGAGTTTGTGGTTTGTCAGCCATTGTAATACATTATGATGAAGCCAACTTATGTTCATGCTGACTCTTTCCATGTAAATCTACAGTTGAATGAGAGGCTCCAAGACAGCATGTATGACTTCGACGACATGAAGATCTACCAGGTAGCACGGCAGATAGCAAACGGAATGGTAAGCAGACAGTCCACACACAATATTATCACTGAGAACACACGCATATATACTGTATTTATAAGACACAGCCTTGTAAACAGAATGAGCTTATATCATACGCCTAAATGCTCTGAATTCTATCATGAACTGCAAAAGCACATTCTCATCCCATACTACACACTTTATAGGGAAGATTAGTCTCATTGTTTGTTAGCAGTAGATGCCAATTACGTTGTACAATTGTTGTGCGATGGCGTTTAGATGTTTACTGAGGAAGACCAGCGTGACTGGTCGAAAGCTCTAGTTGAGATAATTTCTTTGTGTTGCAATTGGATCAAGTTTTAACTTTAAACATGAAAGTATCATAGATGAACTTCCATTGTTATCTGTTTGTTGACCACGTTCATACATGTACATCCATTTCTCACATGACGTTTGCACTTTTTGAATTGTATGTTTTCTGCATTTCTCTCTCCAAACAGACTTACATTTCCCAGGCTGGTTACGTGCACGGTGATCTGGCCGCCCGGAACGTGCTGGTAGGAGAGGACCTGGTGGTGAAGATCGCAGACTTCGGCCTGACAACAGACATCTACGAGCGAGGCTACCAGCGGCAGGACGCGGAGCAGAAGATCCCGCTGAGGTGGATGGCGCCGGAAAGGCTAATGCGAGAGGGCCGGTACACAAGCAAGAGTGACGTGTGAGTAGTTATTGCTTTGGTTTCGTCCTTGATTTATGTTTGTATACTAACTATAGTCTGGAAAAAACAAACTTGAAAGCATGAGCAAGCTGGTGTCTAATCCGAGGTTGTCGATGTAGTTAGTCTCCCCCGGCTTCTTTGGCCTTTTGTAGGCTCCCAAAAGAAAGCTTGGATGCTCCAATGTGAGGATGTCTGACACAGTGTGCAGCTAGCTTCATTTTGCGTGTTTTGATTTTCTCGGTGTTTCTTGGAGACAACATCTAACAAACAAACAACTCTATGGCTCTCACCCGCCCATTTCGTCTGTAGTCCAACGACGTAGACTCGCCCTGGCAGGGTATATACGTTTGTTGTTCGTAGTAACGAACCAGCTGGTAGACTAGTACAGTGGCTTCCTACTGGGAGACGTAGGGTGGGACGTCCTTATACTACACTTTTGTCCATTTTAGAGAGAGACACTGGTCTCGCAGGGACTGCATAATTAGTGTCCGCTATGAGAGATGGGACATACTGGAGTAACTTTATCAAGTGTACTTCACCGGATTCATAATCCGGAGGCATGGTGATGATGATGATTTTCTCTGTAATTACAGGCAAATCATGATATAGTACGTCTTTTTTTGCATAATTCATGATAAAATCTAATTCTCACGCCTAGTTGGTCCTTCGGTGTGGTGCTGTTCGAGATCGCTACGCTCGGGAACGTGCCCTATCCGGGTCGGGAACGCACGCTCCTGGAGGAACTCCGCACAGGGTACCGCGAAGCACGCCCGCCTGGCCTCAAACAAGAACTGTATGTGAAAGAGAATATTGTTTCTTTTTTATTTCATTCACATTTGTTTCTTGAGAATAATTCATAAATCATGGTGGTTTATAACGGCCCTCTCCACATGTAAGAGTAAGATCAATAACAGTGGTCATAATGAGTTTGCAAATTTAAAATAAACCAAGAACTAATTCAAAGAGAAATGGTGAAACGTAAAGCTCGTGAACAGAAACTACAAGTTGGATAAAAAACATAGTACTTAGTGTACTGAGAGACGATAAATATGTAAAATGGTGATGACAACAACCCTGTGTCTTTGGTCTACTCCATTTACAAAATTGTAACATTACCAATCACCGATGACTTACACATATAAATAACCAATAGGTACGACATGATGCTGCGGTGCTGGCAATGGGAGGAAGATGATCGCCCGGAGTTTGAGGAGCTTTACGATGAGCTGGACGCTGTGGTAGAATTGATGGCCAAGGATTACGTCAAACCTGGTTCCGGCTCCCCAGTGGGGGGTCAGAATGAGGCAGCAGAAGCTCTTGAAACCTCGTACGACGTCCCAAAGTCGGGCAGGATGGGGATGCAACTCCGCGTCACTGCAGAGGTCTACAACAGCGAAGATCGTGATGAGGTCGACTCACTCGCGTCCTCCAATGCAGAAGCCAGTTCCACGCCAATAGAGAAGGATGTGGACACCGACAATGATACCCATACAGCAGTTAAGGGGGTACGCCACACTTTATTTGGCGTCTCTATTCGAAACTGCACACCCTCAAATCTACCGACTGTCTCTGGCATGGAATAATTCGGAAGGAGAATAACTGTATATGGGACGAAAGGATATATCTTCAGCTACAAGACCAGCTGTGTTTGGTTTCTTCAACCTTTTTAAGTTTGGTAAAATCAACAAGAAACATTATTTTCACTCCAAAATTAATGCCCGAAATTGCGAATTTTCGCGTAGGATAATCCCACACACACAAAAAATTCCTGCAGAAATGACTGATGCTGGCAGAAATACCCAAGCCTTGACTATACCCGAGTAAATTATAAAGAAAATTCTAGTACTGAAATTTTCTAAACAGTCCACGGCGCGAAGGGTTGCAAATCCACCCCTACGAAGCCGCAGAGCGAAATCTAGGTCAAACGGGCGGATTACACTTGGCGCGCAAGGATACCCGGAAGTAAGGTTCGGAGCCAAAAGAAATTTTCACCCCAAAATCACCATTTCTTACACTCTTCAGCCATGTTAATGATACTTCGTGGCAGTTTATGAGAAATGTCACCTCAAACTTGGACCCTCAAAACCCTTTCGTCACTTTTTTACAACGGACTATCACGGACTGCACTATAACAAGTGCAAGGCCACGCAGCAAGACACCCTCTCGGAAAGTGAAGACCACGACCAACTACAAGTGGAATCCTCCATCCCACCGGGTGTAGTAATTATGGATGCCGACGACAGTTCCACCGACTCCGAGCTGCCAGAGCCAGCGAATGTGCAGAAAAATGAAACCCCGGCTACAATTGAGGACAACACCGAAGATGCTGAAGAAGAAATGCCTCCAACAACATAAGAAATTGTACATTATTTCATATGGCTTATTTTACAGAAGTCAGTTCTATCTACAGGATGTATTACTGTTTTGTGAAGGCATTTATTAACAATAGAAAAGTTGTACAAAATGTACGGCTGGTTACATTTTCTCGTTGTAAGTTAGTACCATTGAAGGGTATTAATCAGTGTTTTATGCTAGTCATGGTTAATTATGTAGTGAATATGTCAGTTTCAAAGCATTTTGGTGTTGTACATTGAAAAACGTGCTATTTTAAATCAGATATAACATAGAGGCCATTGTATTGATTTCAATTTTAATTTTTTTATAAACTAATGTAGACATTTCTGTCTGTATTTTATCCAAGAGTTTTGTCTTCTAATGGGACTTTCTAGGCTGTCGGATTTTTCTGTAGATGTTTGGTCCCCTTTTATTACAGAATCTTAATTTGCATAATTTGGTGTTTTCTTTTCCAGTAGTTTAAGGTAAGATGCCACGGAGCCATGTAAGAATAGATTAGAGACTGTGCATAGAACTAGTCCACGTGTATTAAGGATAGTGCTTCTCTTTGCAGAGCTATCAGGTATATAGCAAGGATATAGACACCTTATGCATGTACTTACAGTTTCTACATCAAGTTGATGTGTATAATATTGTATATTAAGATAGCTCGTGTTTCTTAAGCTAAGAACGATATGATATAAACGGTTATCTGCAAGATTAAGATTTCATAATATTTTTTTATTTGAGTAAGTTACACCTATCTAACTCTAAACATTGTTTCAAGCTAACAGTCTAGTCATGCTGCCCTTACTGTACTCGGTAATAGTATTAGAACCATAAAACATTGCTTGAGACAACACATTCTAGAAATGCCATAGAACGGCTGTTCTAAAAGAGGCACTGTTTTGTTTATCCTGTAAACCAACGTTCTTAGATCTAAATAGAGATACTAGTAGTAGGTTAAATAAGTATATCGTATACGTGGAACTTCATGTTAGCAGACAGTTTTATATCACTACATTCTGTACCCACTGTTGACGTCAATGTGTGTTTGCAATTGGCCCTCGGGCATGAACTTGCACCAAAGAACTCTATATAGTGCATGTTCACATAGATGAGACCACTTTTACATGTATATATTAGCCTTGTATACCAACTCTAATGCGTGAGTGTTACTCTAGAGTGCGGTCGTGTGGCGTAGCGGAGGCGTTCTCGACTCGAAACCAGAGGCCCCGGGTTCGAATCCTGACATGCCACCGATCTTGTGCCCTTGGGAAAGGCACTTTACACGACTTTCCTCACTTCGCTCAGGTGTAAATGAGTATTGTACTGTCCCTGTGTTGGTGGCGGCATTAATATAAGTTGAAAAAACTTGAGTGTGACGTCACCACGTCTGGTGATTGCATGTTTCGAAATATGAAAAAAAAACACTAATGCAACAATGTATCAATATCCTTATCGTAGTGCTGCAGTGCAACAATCTACAGGGTAGATTCAAATGGTTTATATCAAATGTAAGATTGCTAAACAACAGTTGCCACCCGACAGCCATCATGATGGCTGAATTATGTGTAACTATTCATATTGTTAACAAGACAAGACAACAATATGTATAACAAGGGAACAAGACAACCTAGCTAAGTACTAGTACTAGTTACACAAAGGCTATAGAATTAAATCTAAAATGACAGGTCGGTGGCAGATTGGATTAAGATATTACACATATGTTGGATAAAACAGTGTACATTGTAGGATAAGCACGTTTGTGTTGTTTATTAGGAACTCAATTAGTAAAAAAAAACTCCTTACTAGTCTTTCTGGATCATGGAGTCCTGTTCATTAAAATTACATCATGATAACATAACAATGCCACCATCATCACTTGATAACTACAATACATTACAATATATAACAACTACACAATGTTTACTTAATGACTACAACGTATACAACGCTACAATATATAACAACTACACAATGTTTACTTAACCCTATCTAGACCGGGGGGGCTTAAAGTGCCCGCGGCAACTTTGATGTCACCTAGCGTCTGAACGGCTAAAGCTAGAACCGCCAAATTTGGTGACTTTTCCTAAAATATTGTTGGCAACAAATCTGTATCAGTGGAATAAGATTATGATTTTTCTTGTTGCCATGGCAACGGGTTTCTGAAATTTAATTATTTCCATTTAAACAACAGAATTTTATGGGTTTTACGTCAAGTTACACAGTTTCTAACATTAATAACATCACATATAATTATATGTAAATTTTATCATTAAAAAAATGCATAATTTATGCTAATTTGATGACGTCATTGGCCAAAATCCAAGATGGCGGACCATATCATTAGATCAGGTAAATGCAGCTTATTTTCCTTAAAATTTCATCAATACTCCCATTTTTTTACAAAAAAGGTTTATATGAATGTCTTTAGTCTGTTTACAATGTATTGTAGGCTTCATCCTGAAAAAAAAGCTATTTTTCAAAATTCAAGATTGATGATCCAAGATGGCGGATATGTAATATATGCATGACGTCATTTTATGACGTCACCGGTGTTGCTATGGGCAACATAAGACTTAGTACATCCTAATATTCTGTCATAATCACTTTTGGTAAAGTTATGTCGTATACTGTTTAGTTTTCAGGGAATAACCTATCTAGACGGTTTTGGCCAATAAAATCACATTAATGACGTCATAATGACGTCACATTACGTCACAACGACAAAAAAATTGTATGTATGATAAATTTTTACTAGTACATCATCCTCTGAAAATTTGGTGGTCCTACGATATACCGTTCTCGAGTTCTGAGGGGGGGCCGAATGACGCCCCCCCCCCCGTCCCACCAAGCCCAAAAAAGCCCGGTCTAGATAGGGTTAATGACTACAATGTATACAACGCTACAATATAACAACTACACATGCAATGTTTACTTAATGACTACAATGTATAAAATGCTACAATATTTAACAACTACTCTGTAATTCTTTCATAACTATATAGAAAACACAACTTGATACCAATTACTAATGAACACCAAACCTGTAACGAGGCAAAAGCATTTGGGGGGTAGGACAAGTAGGCGACCTGCACCTTAACTTCTTTGTTGCCTTTCATTGAAACTGTCAGTTTTACAATTACTAGTACAGTGTAGTACTAGTAGTCATTTCTAGCTTCTGTTTAAATCGCGCACCTAGCGGCCCTGACGGGAAATGCCCCAGACTCAGCCGAAAGCCCCGCCCATTGCAACGATGCACTTGAGAAAACAATAGGTTACGTGTCAAGACAACTTTTCCCCGAGTCAAGTCTTCAGTTCGAGCTCAGACAACGCCCGCGCAAGCTGTGCCCGGAACAACAGTCCTGACGGAATGGCGAAAAACGCGAATGAAGCTCTGCTGCATGCTGCTAAAATCGGCTGTCTTCGGGGCGTGAAAACAGCTCTGAAAGCAGGTAAGCTAGCCAACACAAGGCGCACAAGATTGCAAAATTTTAATCTCCCAGCAGATCCTAGGGTGGCAAAAAGACAGCATCAAATTGGCCAGGCAGTATCCATTGTTCCAATTCGCCACCCAAGGTGGTCGTAGCGACCAAAAAAACGTAAAAGGGTAACAATCTTACCCACCAAACTCTGCTTGGACAGTAGCAAAATTGTTCTCCTCTGACATACTCTTTTGTGTATTTCTACTATGAGAACTCCAAGCAGATTTCTTTAATTTTGGGGCGATGGAAGTTGTGCAGACAATTGACGTACTAGTACCAGCTCAGACTGAAAAGTCCAGCACGGCTGTTGAAGGTTTTTTAGCGGCGTTGGTATTGCCTGCAGTCTCATTCACAAATGCTACTAGGATAACACACCAGTTCTGTACAGTAGCTAATCCTTCGGTGGCAAGGCAGTATCCATTGGCCAAGGAATGGTCACTCCTTCACCATTGGATACTGCCTTGTTACCGTAGGATCTGCCTTGGAGATTGCATTAGGTACAAGTTGTTCTAGCCTCCTTCGCAGTCTTGTTGGGCGTGGGCGTAATTTTTTCTGAGCGACGCGAGTAATATGCCGCCACGAGGGACGATTTGCTGCCGAGGGACTTTTGCCACGGAGAGAAGGTTTCCGCGCTCCAACAAGACTGCTTCCAATCGGCGAGTTAAAAGGACCTCGGATTAAGCCAGCCTTTCATAGAGGCTATTAACATGTTCGTGCAGGTCCAATTCACATGTTCGCGCAGGTCCAATTCACATGTCCGCGCAAGGGTAATTCATAGATACGCATGACACGCGCTCGCCTTTGTCAACGGTTGGTTTTATTAGCTTGCGTTACGTTATAGTCGAAGGTTCCAACAGAGAACATTGGTAATGTTACAACAAAGGCATTGCTGTGCATATTTAAGCGTCCCATGCAAACAAACCAAGACAATTTGCAGTACTATTTTTGCTGGTGAAATGTGCAATTCTTTCTATTACGCAACTTGCTACGGAGCGGTGTGTTACCCTCCCATGGTCAGTGAGATCAACCCGCCACCAAACAACATGGCGGCACTTTGTTTATCTGTCGACGTCCCCCAGCAATATCACAGTTTAGCTTAAGGGTTCCTGTGGTAGTGATTTGTTCAAAGTTCTTTTTCGTAGCAGCAATGTCTCCGGGATTTTGTTGAGTGGATAGGGCTCGGTTTTCGGGAATGGTTGGCGTTCTACCGACGAGTTGATCGGCGACCGCTGGAAAGTTACAAGTTTTGGCTCGTCGATCAACGGGGCGTGAACACCACCCTGCACTGGTGGCGTTTATTGCGGGAAGTTCACACATCCATGCCAATCGCTCCTAAGTGTTTTTTGATAGCCCTTTTAACTCGCCGATTGGAAGCAGTCTTGTTGGAGCGCGGAAACCTTCTCTCCGTGGCAAAAGTCCCTCGGCAGCAAATCGTCCCTCGTGGCGGCATATTACTCGCGTCGCTCAGAAAAAATTACGCCCACGCCCAACAAGACTGCGAAGGAGGCTAAAGTTGTTCAGGGTCGGGACAGGTTTGAACCCACTCACACCGGGAAGGACCCCTACGCTTTTCGAGAACTGTGGTTGACCCTCGAGGTGTGGCTCTCCTCAAACACTAGTCTCTATCAGACTCCTTTGCAGGCTGAATAAATGGTAGAAATCGGCATACAAAAGAAGGTAGCTGACCAGGGGAGATGGCCGACCAGAGAAGCTGCAGTGGCCTGCATAGATCTTTTCAGGCCTATTTCTACTATTTACTCAAGTCTAGTGGAGACTATTCAAACACGGGCGCGTCCAGCTTTACGTCCCTGTACGTAAGTTGACTGTCTTGTGTTTTTACTTAACTGTAATCACCAAACGCAGGTGCGGACATTGACTACGCCCAGGAAGGCAACGAACTCACCGGCAGTAGAATTGTAAGAACAGCTCTGTTCTTCGCTTCGGAAGCGGGACATGCCGATGTAGTGAGGCTGCTGATCCGCAAGGGGGCGTCTTTAACGAAAAGATCCACCGACACGTCAGCTCCTCCTCTTCTTATAGCAGCGTCCGAAGGTAGGCCGGCGATAAAAATATCTAAAAAAATAAAACAAGAGTTTAACGACTCATACCTTCGCCAAATGATGTTAACTTTTACGACTATCGAATCGATTATGCAAATAAGATCCCCATCTGTTTGTTTGTTTGTTTCGCATAGCCGCATAAAGCGCCTTTTTAGGGCCTAGGGCAAAACACACCAGTTGTGTACATGTATTAAAGTACAAGCTGCGTAAGACTGGACTGTAAGGTTTCATCCACTCACACCTGGAAGGATCCCTACTCTTGTCGATAAGTGTGGTGGGTTCTATAACGTGCGTGGGATGTGGCTCTCCCAAACACAAAACCTCAATTTGACGTCCTATGTCCCTAACTGAAGCTAGGTACATGTAATAGAATCATCTATATTACCTATTGAATCGCGAAAGACATACCAACGTTGCTTGATGTGTATTTCTTGTTTATTTGTTTATTAGAATTCACCACAAGCACAAACATAGAAGTGGAAGGGAGGACAAAACAGGTGTACAACTTGTCCTCCCAAACACAACAATATAAATACAGTACAATACAAAGTACAATGTCGAACAATTGTTGATGTAAATCCAGGGCATACAAAAGTGGTGGATTTACTGGTGCATCACGGTGCAACGTTAGACACACGAGACTGTTTCCAGAGGACCCCGCTCATGATGGCCTGTATTTTCAGGCGAGCAGACACGATTCGCCGACTGATCGAGCTCGGAGCAAGAGTTGATCTGACCGACGCCAATGGCTTGACTGCCCAAGGGTAAGTGTCGCGTCATTTGAGAACTACTACTAAACGAATGTGTATGTATGTAAGTCCCATAACTATGAGCAGTCGTAGGGGCATCATGACAGCCAGCAGCATGTCTGGACTTGTCACGATGTTTCAGTAGGCTTATAATCTTGGCGGTGCCTATCTCCTCTCCAAGATTTGGCTGATACAGACGGGGTTCGCCAGGCCTCCGTCCGGGTGATTTGAACTTCAGAAGTGAAGCACCAACTCCATGCAGTAGTTTTGTAGGGCATGCCCCTCGAATTTGTAATATGAACGAATTTGCAAACACTGTACGTTGAATACGGTGGAAGACGAAACGCATTTTATCTCAAGTTGTACCCTCTATAGCAATGAACGAAATGGACTCTTTGACGTGTTCACACATATACACATGAAAACTACTCTCCTCTTAACATCCAAAACACACAAATTACAGAAAAGTGGGATCCTTTGTCTTCCTCTGCCTTCAAAAAAGAAGTCAAACCCAGTAGTTTTTACTAGTAATTATCAGTAGTTCTGTTTTTGTTTAGCATCTGTTTTTTTTTTACCAAACGTTTCTTATGTTCCTGCAATAAGCCCTTGGGCATGAATTTGCAATAAAACTTTTAAACTAAACTAGGTACAGCTAGTGGGTAAACAGAAAAAGTGCTTTATTCACAGCCGACGTTACTGTGACCGTCTGTTACCTTTCTCAGGATAATTCTGACTTGTTCACGTTGCACTGCAGCACACAGGTGTCGCTGCTATAACGTAAGAAGTATTCCCAAGTGTACAATGCAGGAATACATCTATAGCACCTGTGCTGCAGTGCAATGTGAACCAGTCAGAATTGCCCCGAGGAAGATGACAGACGGTCACCAAAACGTCGACTGAATAAAAGACTTGGTTGTGTAAAAAGAGTCTCGAGCTCTTTACTCAGTGACTTACCAATCTGATGAAACTATTCACGGATAGGTACTGCGAGCTGAACGTAGTCGGATTTGGCTGTGTACCCAAAGAGCTGATGGAGCTGATACAAGAAGCACTGAGGACCAAGCTGCTGAAATGCTGCAACCCTACATGTGGCAAACCGGGCTACAGGTATGTATAGGTTTTGTTACAACCGGATGGGGGGTGGGGTGTTTTCTATGTGCGTGTGTTCAATGGTGTGTGTATGTGTTTATGTGTGTGCGCGCTCGCATGTGTATGTGTGTGTGTGTGTGTGTTTGTCAAGTAAAAAAATGCAATTAAAAACCTTTCGGAATTCTTTTCTGTAACTATAACGCTCTTTTCTCCAGGTCCACACTGAAGATATGTGGCCAGTGCAAGCTGACCCGGTACTGCAGCCGAGACTGTCAGAGACAACACTGGCTGGCCGGACACAAGATGTGCTGTGGGCATGATGCGTACTCCGAAGATATGATACGACGAGATTTCCGAAAATTTCAGATGCGAAAGTATTGTGTGCTTTAGGTGGCTGTGTTTTAAAAAATAGCCCAGGAAAAGTTAATAGAAGCAACTCTACAGACTTCACATCTTTTTGCATGTTCAACCTTGTTTGATGATGATTGCCATACGTATTTTCACAATAACTTGTTAAAATTGCGAAGTACAGTAATGTAACATTATGCATTTACATGTACTTTGGAATTGTTACCTTTCAAGTCACCATTTAACATATATAATGTATTATCCTAGGGACTGCAGTGCTATATGTATTAAATAGGTGTCGCTTTTGCATTGACGCTGATACTTGGCAACATGATTAATTAGTCACATCTTAAGAATCCATAGAGACAGAAGAAGGGGAGTAGATGTTATCATTGTCAATAGATAGGATTGTGATGTAAGTTTTTTTTTTTAATATAAAGGCTATCGGATCATCTTCAATGGCCGTTTCTCACAAGTAGTCCACACCGCCGGTAGTTGAGGCTTGTTGGTTCGGTCATTGACCTTACCAAGGTCAGACGTACCTTAACAAACATAGATATATGACAACATAATATTGTCAACGTCACACTTCACTTACTGGGTCAGTCTACTAAGGAAGACCAGGGTGACTGGTCGAAAGCTCTAGGGAGAGAACTTTTTGTGCTTTAACTTTAAACATGTAGCTACCAAGTTTGAACACAGATTAATCTCCATGATAACCCAGCCTAGCTATTTTCATCTTGTTTTTTTTTTCTGACTTTTTTTAGACAGAATTTTGCAATCTCTATTGATCCAATTATACAATACAGTTGAACAAAGTAAAACTTGCATGAGGACACCTTATAGTAGGAAAATGTATGTTTCACGGATACTTCTCCCGTATTGAACTTCATAATTCAGGCTACGAAATATTCTATTATTATAATTCTTCATTTGGCAATTGCAACTTAAATCATGCCAGAAGACTAGCTGCTTGTACAGTGCCATATGCTTGGCTTTGCTTTGTTAATTATTTTTATGTTCGTTGGCGGCGCTTCTATAAGTTTTGTTAACAAAATAACTTGAGTTCGCCATCGCTGCCTTATATTTAATTATTTATGCTTTAATAAATAAAAGAAAAGAACTTCAACAATCGGTACTCCTTTAATCGTATCACCACCAGACTGACAATGGCTTGTATTCAGTGTGACCCTATTCTGTCGGGTTACACTTGCGGGTTACTCCGATGATTTTGAGCGGACCAGACACGCGCCAGCTTTGAATATGGCGACATCACCTGATCATAGCTGAACCCTCACCCTTCCCTACACCGAGAGTACCATATATAGACACATTTGTGGTGAGTGTGCCCCCTTTTTTTTAGTATCTCGTGCTACTGCTTTTGTCACTAAATCTACAGGGTTTTTTTCAGGGGGCGGGTCAAAAATTAGCCGTAAAAGGCAAAAAGATAAACAGGTTAGTGAGGATACCATAGCCACATTTGTGGTCCGTGTGCTCCTTTCTCTTTATTGTCTTTCGTGCCACTGCTTTCCTCACTACGTCTACAATTTTTTTTTCAGGGGACGGGTAAAAATATTAGATGTAAAAGACAAAAAGGTAAACAGGTTAGTGAGAATACCATAGCCACATTTGTGGTCAGTTTAACCTCCTTGCTCTTACTAGTTTTAGTCTTCCATTCCACTGCTTTTGTCACTAAATTCACGTTTCTGAAAAGCCGAAATATGTGAATAAACGTTCATAGATGTCCCCTTTGTGTTGTGTTAACTCAATGATTTTAGAATGAAAAGGAACCGCTATGGTTCGTGCGAGTTTTCATTCCGACGTTAACAAGTTCCTTAACAAGCTTTTAGGCCACACCAATTTGATTCGTTGGTTCTCGGATTTTTTCAGAAAAAATATTAAGCGACAGGGCGAAAAAAATAAAAATAAAAACAGATCAAGGCATCCAATTATAGCCCAAAATGCTACGATAGGAGCCATGAAGTCAACAGAAAAGGCTGGGTCAATATTTAAACAATGAATTTTGAACTTTTAATCAAACCACTGCATTGATAGATGGAAATACTGTATACGCAACACCCGGGAAGAAAAGGACTTTCCTGAACTCACTCACTCAGCTCCGCATGCCCCTCCTGAGGGCGTAGCGCCTCTGCATACGGCCCTCCAGGTCTTCCGGTCTCTGGCTGCCACCCAGGCGGAGGTAATGTTCAGTCCTGCAGCCTGTAGGTCGGCAGACAGCAGGTCCGTCCATGTACGCCTCGGTCTCCCTCTAGGGCGGGACCAGGTCGAAGGAGACGGTTCTCTTACGAGAGAGCCTAGTTCAAGAGGTGGTTCCGCCCTGGCAATGTGGCCGAAGAGACGGAGACGGGCTGTGCGGATCTTACTGGACAGGGGGAGCTGGTTGGTCTGCTCTCTCAGGGCGTCGGTGGAGACGTAGTCGTACCATCTAATCCCCAGGATTCTCCGCTGGCACTTGGAGTCGAAGGCGTCCAAGCGGCGCTCCTGGGCAGCGGTTAAAGTCCAGGTCTCGGCCCCGTACAAGAGGATGGACAGCACGAGACTGTTGTACAGCCTGAGTTTGGTGCGGTGGGAGATGTCACTGCTGGCCCAGACGATGTTGAGGCTGGCCATCGCAGAGGCGCCTCGTCCAATGCGGAGCTGAATGTCAGAGTCGCTCTTACAGTCGGTGGTTATGGTGCCTCCAAGGTAGCAGAACCTGTCCACAGCCTCGACAGGGTGGGAGTTAATCACTAACCCGGCCGGGGAGTGAGGTAGTCACTGAGGCACTGGACTTTGGTTTTGTTCCAGCTGACCATCAGGCCCAGCGGTTGGGTCTCCACGTCCATGGCCTGCAGGGCGAGCTGGAGTATGTCCATGGTCTCAGCAAGGATTGCCACGTCATCGGCGTAGTCCAGGTCGGTGATGGTCACATCGCCGTAGCTAACACCGCACCCGCATCGGCCCACGACACCTGCCATGACTTTCCTGAACAGTTGGGGGTAAAATATGAGCATTCTTTAGTTGATCCAAAATCAAATTATTATTTTTTTTTGCAAATCAGAAAAAAAAAACCAAGAGGCGAATTCGAGAACAAACAAATTAAATTGGCGTGGCCTTCAGTCTCTCAAATCAAGGAGGTTGAAAAGAAATATTCAACCTCCCTGCTCAAATTGAGTCTGGTCATAATATACGACCAGATGTTTGTTTGTGGTTAGTTTGTTAAACAGGGTTTATGATGTCAAAATTTGAAAATATCTTGTTTTTTATGACCCGCCTTTTTTCGCCCTCTCGCATTATATTTTGAGCCTGCGGTGGATGTCATCCATAAAATTTACATGCTGCGGCCTAAGCGTTGCTTCAGGTACCACATGCTAGACATGCACATGTCTATTGAACTTCTGAAAGCCTGGGTGATAACCGTTAGAACCCCGTGTGATACGGCTAGTTAGGCCACACCGACTTAATTTTATGGATGACATCCACGCGCGCATTGACTTTCGCCTGTTCTAAAAAAAAAGATCACATCCTCCAAGCTCACGTCCTCCGAGGCTCTGGTCTGGCTCTAGGCCTGGGTAATCCATGGTAGTTAGCGACAATACGGAGCCGGTGGTAACTCTGGCTGCCGAAGCTGTACCTTCGTACAGTGCCGATTCATAAATTCCGCAAATGTCCAGCACGTGCCGTACGTCGCTATGTACTGCCGAAAATTCACAATACCAGCTTTGTACTCCTGTGGTTTAGTAGCATTTATATTTTTGGTCGGAATTTTTTTATTCGCCCGCGCGCACTAGTTTAGGGGTCCTCAGAGGATGTCGTCCATAAAATTAAGTCGGTGTGGCCTTATCACACTGGCCGACATCGAACGTCATCACGGCCCAGGTATGACATAAATACTGGTATTTCACGGAGACGATGGTTGACTTCATGTTCGTGACAGTTCTAACGTTTCTGACGTTCCATTCTTCACATGGGTTGAATATTTGGTTCTGCCCACTGGCGTTTTTACAAAAAGGACATTTTTCCATTATTCCTAACCATTATTGCCACAGTCAGGATTTCCGCCATGTGCTCTGCGTTTCGTGGAAGAATAGGAACAGGAAATGACTTGAACCAAATAAAGACAAAGCCCGCACTTGGCAGTACCTTGCACATAAGATCACGTAAGTGAAGGAAATGGCGGGAGTAAGAAGTCCTTTCTGCGTTGTTCTGGGCTTTCTGTGGATTTGGGAGAGTCGTGGACAGACAGGTAAGATGTTTGTCTGGTGGTAGAATGACATGTAGTTACATGATGGCCGTAGCCAGGATTTTAAATGGGGGGTTCTTCCCACTTCTTGAGGGGACCTCGAGCGCCGTAGGCGCGAGGCGAGTGCCGAAGACGCGAGGTTCCTAGGGGGGTCCGGGGGCATGCTCCCCCGGAAAAAATTTGAAAAATCAACCTTCTAAAATGGCATTTAGTGCATTTTTGAAAGGATTTCCAAGAAAAAATCAGAGATAAATTTTTATTCAATGACAAAGGTAGCAGTTTTTCTAAGATTCCAGTCCATCTTTTCAAGAAAAATCTTGGACATTTACATAAAATGTGGACCAAAAAGTGGACCTTTACATAAAAAGTGGACCAAAAAGTGGACATTTACATAAAAAGTGGATCAAAAAGTAGACCTTTGAGCCTTGTGGGGGGGTTCTTCTGGCTACGGGCACTTTACTGTTTCGTGATCGTTTGTTTGAACCATTCGAACCAGCGAAGGGACTGTGCTCAATTTGGGGGTACAAATAAAGGGAAGCAACAACACATAAGGCGGCACAAAATCAGCCCGGCAAAGCAAACTCTCGAAGGGAAACGAGCCGAGAGATAGCATTCAAAAAATTCAAGACACGTGTGGGGTAGGGTCCATTTTTTGCATCACCTTTTTTGGCAATAATCTCTAGATAAGAAGCAATTCTTGCCTTTTTAAAGTTTTTTTTCTTCTCTTTATTGTGAAGTTGTTTGGCATTTTCCAATTCGGTCATGTTCATCCTCAAAACAAAAGAGAAGACGTCATTATGGATCAATTAGT